CGGGAGATGTGCCCCGATTTGTTGCACGTCCGGCAGACGGCATTCCAGAAACAGCACAACCAGCATTCATGCTCTTCCCTGAAGCTAGCATACACCGGACGATACTGAACCTGCTGCATGATGGGGGCACTGGGACGGCCAATGGCAAACCTGTAGAACCTCGTCGTCGTCATAGACGTCGGAGCCAATGGTCGCTTGCATGCGGTGGACCACCTTGGCGCAGTGGTCGTGGTGAGACTTCTCATATGCGGTGGCCTCTCGGAGCGCTTTGTCGAGATCCAAGTCATCTTGGCTGACCATCTTCCTTCGGAGTTTGGGCTCCCGTAGGCCCAGGAGGAACTGGTTGAGGAGAGCACCAGCCAAATTTGGGAAGGAACACCTCGTGGAGGCCCACCATAGGGCCGCTAGGTAGTCAGAGGCGGTCTCATCTGGACCCGGGACTTGTGTAAAAAAGTCCATCCGCTCCCGCAAACTTCGTAGGTTTAGGCGCCAGGTGGTCCAAGAGTGCCTTGACCAAAGTGGTGTACGTCTCATCTTTGGTCAGCCGGGTTTCAGCTATGCTTCCATGGGGGTTGGGGAGTTCATTCTGTGTCTTGCTAATTGCTATTGCATTCCTGTCTCTGCTGTTTTGCCTGTGCCGCAATGCTTATCTCTACAGATGTGCAGAAGGTTGTTATGTTGGATGTTGTATTGTCTGGAAGTCTCCTATTCACGGTGAGAGACTATTGCTTTCCAGCTTTCGCCACCTAACGGTTTTCTGGCTGGTCCCACGCATGGGAGGGTTCCTAATTGGCCCATGCCATGGGGGGGTGCATACAAATACCCTATATCCTATTATGCTCAATGGGTTTCCACCATTCTCAACAGTGCCTGTGTTACTGCATCTTTGTTGTTGTTGTTCAGTCGCACAGTCGAGTCCGACTCTTCGTGACCCCATGGACCAGCTCCTGCCAGGCCCTCCTGTCTTCCGCTGTCCTCTGAAGTTGGCTCAATTTCATGTTCGTTGCGCCGCTGACACTGTCCAACCATCTCATCCTTTGCCGTCCCCGTCTTCTTTGACCTTCAATCTTTCCCAGCATCAGGGTCTTCTCCAGTGAGTGCTCCCTTCTCATTGGGTGGCCAAAGTATTTGAGCTTCAGTTTCATTATCTGGCCTTCCAGGGAACAGTCAGGGTTGATTTCTTTTAGGATTGACTGATTTGATCTTCTTGCAGTCCAAGGGACTCTCAAGAGTCTCCTCCAGCACCATAGTTCAAAAGAATCTATTCTTCGGCACTCGGCCTTCCTTATAGTCCAACTCTCACAGCCATACATGACTACTGGGAATACCATTGCTTGGACCATGCGTATTTTTGTTGGCAGGGTGATGTCTCTACTTTTTATCATGCTGTTGAGGTTCGCCATCGCTTTCCTCCCAAGGAGCAGGCGTCTTTTAATTTCATGGCTGCAGTCACAGTCTGCGGTGATCTGGGATCCCAGGAACGTGAAGTCTGTCACTACTTCCACGACTTCCCCTTCTATTTGCCAAGGAGTGATGGGGCCGGATGCCATGATCTTAGTTTTTTTGATGTTGAGCTTCAAGCCCACTTTTGCGCTCTCCTCTTTTACCCTGAGCAAGAGGCTCTTTAGGTCCTCTTCACTTTCTGCCATTAGAGTGGTATCGTCTGCATATCTGAGGTTGTTGATCTTTTCCCCAGCAATCTTAATTCCCGCTTGTGATTCATCCAGGCCAGCATTTCGCATGATGTACTCTGCATATATATTAAATAAGCAAGGCGACAATATACATCCTTGTCGTACTCCTTTTCCTATGCTAAACCAATCAGTTGTTCCATATCCGGTTCTAACTGTCGCTTCTTGGCCCTTATACAGGTTTCTCAAGAGACATGTGAGGTGGTCTGGTACTCCCATCTCTTTAAGGCCCTGCCATAGTTTGTTGTGATCCACACAGTCAAAAGCTTTAGCATAGTCAATGAAGCAGAAGTAGATATTTTTCTGGTACTCTCTTGCTTTCTCCATAATCCAGCGAATGTTGGCAATTTGATCTCTAGTTCCTCTACCTCTTCGAAACCCAGCTTGTACTTCTGGTAGTTCTCTATCCACGTACTGTTGAAGCCTAGCTTGTAGGATCTTGAGCATGACCTTGCTAGCGTGTGATATGAGTGCAATTGTGCGATAGTTTGAACATTCCTTGGCATTGCCCTTCTTTGGGATTGGAATGTATACTGATCTTTTCCAATCCTGTGGCCACTGTTGCGTTTTCCAAATTTGCTGGCAAATGGAGTGCAGAACTTTAACAGCATCCTCTTCTAAGACTTTGAATAGCTCAGCTGGGATACCATCACCTCCACTAGCTTTGTTGTTAGTAATGCTTTCTAAGGCCCATTTAACTTCACATTCCAGGATGTCTGGCTCGAGGTCAGTGATTATACCGTCGTGGTTGTCAAGGACATCGAGGTCTTTCTTGTATAGTTCTTCTGTGTATTCTTGCCATCTTTTCCTAATCTCTTCTGCTTCTGTTAGGTCCCTACCGTTTTTGTCCTTTATCATGGCCAGCTTTGCATGGAACGCTCCCTTGATTTCTCCAATTTTCTTGAAGAGATCTCTAGTCCTTCCCATTCTATTGTTTTCTTCTATTACTTTGCACTGTTCATTCAGGAAGGCCTCCTTATCTCTCCTTGCTGTTCTCTGGAAATCTGCGTTCAGTTGGGTAAATCTTTCCTTTTCGCCTTTGCCTTTCGCTTTCCTTCTTTCCTCTGCTATTTGTAAAGCCTCATCAGAAAGCCACTTTGCTTTCTTACATTTCTTTTTCTTTGGGATGGTGGTGATTGCTGCCTCCTGTACGATGTCACGAACCTCTGTCCATAGTTCTTCAGGCACTCTATCTATCAAATCCAGACCCTTGAATCTATTCTTCACCTCTACTGTATATTCATCAGGGATGTGATCTAGGTCAAACCTGAATGGCCTCATGGTTTTCCCGATTTTCTTCAGTTTAAGTCTGAATTTTGCAATGAGTAGCTCATGATCTGAACCACAGTCAGCTCCAGGTCTTGTTTTTACTGACTGGATAGAGCTTCTCCATCTTTGACTGCAAATTATATAGTCAATCTGATTTCGGTGTTGCCCATCTGGTGATGTCCATGTGTAGAGTCGCCTCTTAGGTTGTTGGAAAAGGGTGTTCGCTATGACCAGTGTGTTCTCTTGACAAAACTCTGTTAACCTTTGCCCTGCTTCATTTTGCTTTCCAAGGCCAAACTTGTCTGTTATTCCAGTTACCTTTTGACTTCCTACTTTAGCATTCCAGTCCCCTATGATGATGAGGACATCATTTTTTGGTGTTAGTTCTAGGAGGTGTTGTAGGTCTTCATAGAACCGGTCCACTTCAGCCTCTTCTGCATCAGTGGTTGGGGCATACACTTGAATTACTGTGATGTTGAATGGTTTGCCTTGGAATCGGACAGAAATCATTCTGTCATTTTTGAGATTGTATCCCAGTACTGCCTTTTGCACTCTCTTGTTGACTATAAAGGCCACACCATTTTTTCTACGAGATTCCTGGCCACAGTAGTAGATATAATGGTCTTCTGAGTTAAATTCGCCCATTCCTGTCCACTTTAGTTCACTGATTCCTAGGATATCGATGTTCAGTCTTGCCATCTCATTTTTGACCACGTCAAGCTTACCTTGATTCATAGATCTTACATTCCAGGTTCCTATGCAGTATTGTTCTTTGCAGCATCGGACTTTCCTTTCACCATCAGACACATCCACAACTGAGCGTCCTTTCGGCTTTGGCCCAGCCGCTTCACTCTTTCTGGGGTTACTAAACCGCTCAAGCCCCCTCGCCACGACAAGGCAGTGATCCATGAGGGGGACTGCATCTATAGCGCTGCAATAAAAGTATTACCGTTCCTGAATGCGTGTACTTCGTTGTGAGCTGTGGGTTCTGACACCGGGGTGCTATTAGGTCCTTCAGTAAGAGATGCACCTCCGTACCACAGTACCAGAGAAGACACGCCTTCTTCTTCCCCGGATCTGTAACATCATGGATGGTGAAGTGGCTCTCAAGGGTCTCCAGCCAGGTCTCCCATTGTGAGGGTTGGGAGATGTCGAAAGCAGGGAGGCTCTCAGATGCAGCAGCCATCTTACGATTCCACATGGAGGTGGTGGCTCAGGATCAGTGGCAGCGGTTGGCAGGGTGAGGAGAGGTGTGGGGCTGCTCACTGGGTCAGCGGCGCGATGCTTGTGCTGGGAGCAATGCGGTGAGCGGCGACTGGAGATGCTGGGCACGAGGCGGAGCGGCGTGCGATGATCCCGGCGCTGGGGATCGATGTGATGCTCAGTTCTTGGTCTCTGTTCATGGGAGGATGTATCCCATCCTCGTCGCCAGTGAAAAGTACTGAGACTGACGAATGATTACAGCTCTCATACTTTTATTACTGCCGAACAAGACAACTTTAGCCGGTTTGCAGGCCGGCTTATATTCCATGAAAACCACACCCCAAAACACACACCCCACCGTAATAGGCTATTTACAGGGGCTGAGAGTTCCATGGGTTCTCGGCCACGAGCCCAGCCCTCAGATTGGTGCGGGCCAGGATCCGCTTAGTCCATTGTTCGCTGGAGCAAAGCTCGGAGGTTTAACTGAACCATGTGGCGCCCCCATCTGCCATGTGGTCGGGACTGGATACATGACAACCTACTTAAGAGTGCTTCCTAAAGTGCAACTGAACTCCTCTTTTATTTTGCTTCTCCAAAATTTTGCTACTCATCTAGAAGTACATTTCATATCATGCAGTGCTCTAAGGAAATGACCATCTGTCTCGGGCTAAGAGCCTCCAAGGACAGCTGCTGCCACATTTATGTGTCAATCAGTTTCCAAATATAAGCTCTGAAAAGTGGGAGATGCTTGTGTGACCCATGGGGAGCTTCTGCAAAGGGCAGGCAAGCTCTGGCATGGGCAGGGAAATGGATGACTGATGTCTTTTCTTTCCCCAGGGACTGTTTTCCTGCTTCTTCTCATCTATCTGCTTTTCACCAGTTTCTGGCCTATTCCTGCCCTCTACCTGACTTGGCTTATTTTTGATTGGGACACACCTGAAAAAGGTAAGGAAAGACCCAAAACTAACATATGTGGCTTCAATTGAAAGTGTTTCCTTCTCCTTGAACTTCTGTCTGCTTGTTTTCACAGGTTTGGTTATTTATTGTTACTGGTATTTTGTGACAGAGCATTTGTGCATTAAAGCATTATGACAGGGCAAAGTCTTAGGACTAGCTTCCATCCCTCACTTCCTCTCAATGCCAGGGAAAGCAAGCTGGCTGAATTTCTGTGTGTAACATAGGGATGCCAGCCCCCAGGTTGGACCTGGGGATCCCCTGGAATTTCAGCTCATCTCCAGACTACAGAGAGAGTCTTTTCTTGGATAAAAGGGATGCTTTGGAGGGTGGACTCTGTGGCATTGCGCCCCACTGAGGTCCCTGTCCTCCCCAGACCCCACTCCCGAATCTCCAGGAGTTCCCCAGCCTGGAGCTGGCAACCCTCTGCTGCTGCATTGATTGTGACTGATCGCTCTTCCTGCATCTGCTTTCTGGCCACAGTTGCTGTCTTTGCTGAGTAGTTCCAGTCGCAATGCACTTTGACTGGCACTTAGAACTTGGAAATTTTGGTGGCAGTCAGTACATAGTGGGGAACCCATCAAAAGGTGAGGTCAAGAGTGAATATTTTATCTGGGTCACAGATGTAATGAAGGTATAAAAATCTATAGCAAGCCTATGTATCCAGGACTGGAGGATTCCAGTGATAGAAAATTCCCTGCTAACCAGGAGAGTGCTGTGGGTTCCTAGTTGTTTTTTTTCTTTTTTAACCTGTTAGTTTCTGGATACAGAGAAAGAGCCCAGCTGATTTGCCCAGGCCTGAGAAATGGGGCATCCCTTGGTAGGCCAGAACCAAGCATGTTCAATATGCAGGCGTGTAGCTATGGTGGGGCATTTTGGGGCCACACCCCTTCATTAGTGAGCACCGTCCCTTCTAGCTATGCCCCACTGAGCAGCTCCCCCACCCATAGCCAGTAGACTTTGCTGTGGGTGGGCTTGCCGCTCCCGGCTTGAGCAGCATTTAAATGGGGGCACCAAGAACTGAGTCCTCTGAGGACTCGGCTCTCCACTCCCCCTTTTAAACACTGCTCAAGCCATGAGCGACAAGCCCGCCCACAGCCAGCAGAAAAGGGAGTGGACAGGCTTGCCTCTCACAGCTTGAGCGGAATTTAAAAGGGGAGCATCATAAGTTAGTGGAGGTGACGGTATTCCAGCTGAGCTATTCAAAGTTTTAAAAGATGATGCTGTCAAAGTGCTGCACTCAATTTGCCAGCAAATTTGGAAAACGCAACAGTGGCCACAGGATTGGAAAAGGTCAGTATACATTCCAATCCCAAAGAAGGGCAATGCCAAGGAATGTTCAAACTATCACACAATTGCACTCATATCACACGCTAGCAAGGTCATGCTCAAGATCCTACAAGCTAGGCTTCAACAGTACATGGATAGAGAACTGCCAGAAGTACAAGCTGGGTTTCGAAGAGGTAGAGGAACGAGAGATCATATTGCCAACATTCGCTGGATTATGGAGAAAGCAAGAGAGTACCAGAAAAACATCTACTTCTGCTTCATTGACTATGCTAAAGCTTTTGACTGTGTGGATCACAACAAACTATGGCAGGTCCTTAAAGAGATGGGAGTACCAGACCACCTCACATGTCTCTTGAGAAACCTGTATAAGGGCCAAGAAGCGACAGTTAGAACCGGATACGGAACAACTGATTGGTTCAGCATAGGAAAAGGAGTACGACAAGGATGTATACTGTCACCTTGCTTATTTAATATATATGCAGAGTACATCATGCGAAATGCTGGCCTGGATGAATCACAAGCGGGAATTAAGATTGCTGGGGAAAAGATCAACAACCTCAGATATGCAGACGATACCACTCTAATGGCAGAAAGTGAAGAGGACCTAAAGAGCCTCTTGCTCAGGGTAAAAGAGGAGAGCGCAAAAGTGGGCTTGAAGCTCAACATCAAAAAAACTAAGATCATGGCATCCGGCCCCATCACTCCTTGGCAAATAGAAGGGGAAGTCGTGGAAGTAGTGACAGACTTCACGTTCCTGGGATCCCAGATCACCGCAGACTGTGACTGCAGCCATGAAATTAAAAGACGCCTGCTCCTTGGGAGGAAAGCGATGGCGAACCTAAACAGCATGATAAAAAGTAGAGACATCACCCTGCCAACAAAAGTCCGCATGGTCAAAGCAATGGTATTCCCAGTAGTCATGTATGGCTGCGAGAGTTGGACTATAAGGAAGGCCGAGCGCCGAAGAATAGATTCTTTTGAACTATGGTGCTGGAGAAGACTCTTGAGAGTCCCTTGGACTGCAAGAAGAACAAATCAGTCAATCCTCAAAGAAATCAACCCTGACTGTTCCCTGGAAGGCCAGATAATGAAACTGAAGCTCAAATACTTTGGCCACCAAATGAGAAGGGAGCACTCACTGGAGAAGACCCTCGAAGAGTCGTACGCGACTGTACAAAAAATCATAAGTCACACCCCCTTGGTGCCTTCAGTGCCCCCCCTACAAATTTCTGGCTACACCCCTGTATGTTGAGGTCTTCTTAAATAACAGAGTATAACATTATTCAAGAGAAATGGTATAAAACAAAGAAAGAAGAATGAGACCTACCAATGTCCATAGCGGCTTTTCCAGATACAGCCTGTAGTGAGCCATAAATAAAACCTTTCCTGGCTCTACTCCAGGTTCTGGTACCCTGAAACTTCAGTAAATCATGGAACAGATCACAGTGTCATGTTAGTCTGTGCTGAGTGACAGCACAGATTTCACAAAGAGCTACCTGCAATTGGCCCTCAGCCAGTAATTGAACAACTGGCTGCAGTTGGCTCTGAGCCAGGAGGAGAGCAACAAGAGATCAGGTTACTGGCTGAGCAGAAGTCACAGCCTACAGCTGAAACTGAGCCAATGTCTTGTAGCTCTGAAGCAGTAAACAAGGCTTCAGAAGCCACTCCCAACCCGCCTAGCTCACCCACACCCCTGCAGCGCCAATGCTGTCAGATGTGAGCTGAATTGCAGGAAAGGAGGAGTACGAGATTCATGGCCTGTCATCAGCTATCAACTGACAAGATGAATGAGTAGGTTCAGGTTGACTGCCGGGAGAAACAGCAGTTTCTTGAACTCAACAAGTACACATTGCTACTGAACCACTGACTTTGCTGTTACCAGACCACTGGAACCTTGACCCTTGGCCTGGACCTGACTACCTGCTTTTTTGGAACCCCTAATGCTGGACTGGACCCTTGCCCAGGACCGGCCCTGCTGCATGCCCTGCTGAACCCCAGCCCCTGCCTCCTGGGAGGGCTGCATCAGCACACAGAGGTGCCGACCAATATGAGGATGACACCCAATTCTGTTTCTCCCTGATCATTGGTATGGACGTCCTGAACAGGTGTCCGGAGAAAGTAATAGGATGGATGAAGGCCGATAAACTAAAGCTCAATCCAGACAAGACTGAGGTCTTGTTGGTCAATGACAAAGCTGGTCAAGGACTGCAGAGTCATTCTGTCCTGGACAGTATTTCACTCCCCTGAAGGAGGAAGCTTGTATCTTGGTGGTGCTGCTGGATTCTGCAGTTAAAGGCTCCAATCTCTTCAGTGCTTTGACCACACATATGACTTAGTGCTTCTATCATCTTCAATTGATACACAAGTTATGGTAATTCCTCAAAAAGCATTATCTGGTCATATCCAGATAAGATGATAGTATGTGGATCCAAAAATGTAGTTGTTTCAAAATGTTATGGCAAAGCTTTCATCATACAGGGATTGTATCAACACTGCGTTGAAAATGGCAGCCTATCCATTTCCAGGCAAAATTCAGAGTGTTGGTTCATAACGTTAAGGGTCTAAAGAGCTTGGAGCTGAGGTATTTGAAGAGCCTCTTATAGGTCCCTGCCACACGGCAGGAAAAAACGACGGCCGAAGTGTGGCTAATCTGAGCCGCATCAAACTAGAGATGCCGCGGCGGGATCCCACGGATACCCTGAGCCGCGTGCTGTTGCTCCCCAGCACGATCAGATGCCGGGGAGAAAGTGATGGTGGGAGGGGGAGGCTGGCGAACTGCGCATGCTCACACATGCGCAGTTCGGCCAGGAGCCGGGGATGCGCTGGCGGAAGGACGCGCCGGTGATCCCACGGCCGCACTTGCCGCGGCCTTTCCGGATGAACCACCCAGGTAGGTGGTTCTTTTTTGGTGCGGGGTTTTGGGCGGGAGGGATGGATCGGTGACGGGCACGCAAAATGCTTCCCAGATGTTGCCGTGGGATCGCGCCCATTTGCCGCGCATCCGATCCGTCCCTCTCCCGGCCCAAATCCTCGCGTGTGACCGGGGCCATATCCAGTCTGCCAATCCGGGTTTTGGTCTCAAGCTCTGCTCTCGCTGCCCCTGCAAGTGGCAACCGGAGGCAGGGATTCCTCAGTGGACACCCGCACCTGTGAAACGCCCTCCCCCTTGAGGCCCACCTGGTGCCTTGAGGCAGTCAGCCAAAATATGTTGGCTTCCAGTCCAGTTTTATAGATATTATTTAAGGTGGGTTCATGGCTTGTTTGTATTGATACAAAGATTTTCATAGCAGTTGTTTTTATTATGCTATTGTGTTTGCTTTTGTTTTGTGAACCACCTTGAGCAGGTCTCTGGAGAGGCAGCCACATATATTTTCTGAATAAAGGAAGGAAGAGAAAACTATGTATGCTGCCCAGAAGGTTGGGTAAAAATGTTTGGGTAAAAATAGACTAACATTAAAAGGCTTTCATAGTCTCTAAAATACAAGTTAAAATACACCTGAAATTCAGTAAAGCAAATTTAAATACTAAAGGCAATCAAACGAACAAAAAGTAGCAGGTAATTAAGTCCTTACACTCAATTCACATGTGCAAATTTTCTGTAGCTGTGAAGCTTAGTTAATTTTTTCTTCTACCAAATTAGCAAGTCAAATTAGACTTTCTAGTTTTCATGGTTGGGGCTGGATGTTTGTTTAAAAATGTGAAGGTAGTGTCCAAGTTCACGTAGTGCAGCACTAATGTTTTGAAGGCTCTTCAGAGTCCCTTCCTTGGTCTGTGACAGGGAGCATCAATCTTGCCGTGTCCCTTGCCATGTCCCCCCCTTCTGTATCTTGCAGGTGGGAGAAGCTCTTCCTGGATACGGAACTGGTTCATCTGGAATCATTTTCGAGATTATTTTCCTATTCAGGTAAGTTCTGGAAAGCAGGCATGCATGTCCTCTAATGGCTGCAAACAAAGAATTTCAAGTGCATAGTTTGGACTTGCAATAAATTTTTGGAAATTGAATTAGGTGCTGATTAAACTGTATGCTGATCTAAAGACAGTAATAAACAAACAATTAGGTTCTGTGTATCAAGAAGGATTTTATATTGAAGAATTAATAGTCAGTCTAGGCTGCCCTGGATACAGTTGTCAAATAAACTGTTAATGAGTCTGTCCTATGAGCTTGGCCTGGGGTAGCATTCCTGGAGGGTGAGGGTGGGCAAAACAAAAGACAATGGGGTTTTAAAATGTTTCTTAATGAGTGCAGATGTCTCCTCAATGGGCCTTAAACTTTAGGAAGCAGCTTTGTCCAAACACCAATCAGGGCTTGAAGGAGATAAGCCCTCTGCTGAAGGGAGGGGGAAGATTGTGACTCTCAGTATGAAGAAACAGACATTTTAGATTCTGGCAGAGTCATAGAAAGAAAGAGACAGACACCGCTGGGAAGCATCTTGGGTTCCAGGATCTTTCGACTGTTTGGGGATCTGATGTGGGGTAACACAGAAGACCTATACAAGAAAGACCTCGATGTCCTTGACAACCATGATGGTATAATCACTACTACAAGCTAGGCTTCAACAATATGTGGATATAGAACTGCCAGAAGTACAAGCTGGGTTTCGAAGAGGTAGAGGAACTAGAGATCAAATTGCCAACATTCGCTGGATTATGGAGAAAGCAAGAGAGTACCAGAAAAACATCTACTTCTGCTTCATTGACTATGCTAAAGCCTTTGACTGGGTGGATCACAACAAACTATGGCAGGTCCTTAAAGAGATTGGAATACCAGACAAGTATTGTCACCTTGCTTATTTAATATATATGCAGAGTACATCATGCGAAATGCTGGCCTGGATGAATCACAAGCCGGAATTAAGATTTCTGGGGAAAAGAGCAACAACCTCAGATATGCAGACAATACCACTCTAATGGCAGAAAGTGAAGAGGACCTAAAGAGCCTCTTGCTCAGGGTAACAGAGGAGAGTGAAAAAATGGGCTTGAAGCTCAACATCAAAAACCTAAAATCATGGCATCCGGCTCCATCACTCCTTGGCAAATAGAAGGGGAAGTCGTGGAAGTAGTGACAGACTTCACGTTCCTGGGATCCCAGATCACCGCAGACTGTGACAGCAGCCATGAAATTAAAAGACGCCTGCTCCTTGGGAGGAAAGCAATGGTGAACCTAAACAGCATGATAAAAAGTAGAGACACCACCCTGCCAACAAAAGTCCGCATGGTCAAAGCAATGGTATTCCCAGTAGTCATGTATGGCTGCGAGAGTTGGACTATAAGGAAGGCCGAGTGCCGAAGAATAGATTCTTTTGAACTATGGTGCTGGGGAAGACTCTTGAGAGTCCCTTAGACTGCAAGAAGATCAAATCAGTCCACCCTAAAAGAAATCAACCCTGACTGTTCCCTGGAGGGCCAGAGACTGAAGCTGAAGCTCAAATATTTTGGCCACCCAATGAGAAGGGAGCACTCACTGGAGAAGACCCTGATGCTGGGAAAGATTGAAGGTCAAAGAAGACTGGGACGGCAAAGGATGAGATGGTTAGACAGTGTCATCGATGCAACGAACATGAAATTGAGCCAACTTCAGAGTACGGCGGAAGACCCTAGGGTCCATCCCTAGCTAATCAAAGTCATTTCTCCCAAGGACACCTTCCTGTGTGAAAGACATCTCTTGAGGGCTTCATAGAAGAGTTATACGAGCAAGCAGTTGTACTCCTGCATGCATACACTCCCCCCCCTTTAGGAATGTAGTGGCAGGCAAGGGTGGATGATAAGAACATCAGTGCTAAAATAACACTCTGGAGGGAGAACAGGGGGAAAAGGCTGAGACAACAAAATGGCAGAGCTATGACTATCAGGATGTCAAGGCACTGAAACAACAGGTACATATGGTTAGTCAACCCGAGCCTGACATGCTGTCCCCGTCAAATCTCACCCCCCTGGTTTATGAGGGTGTAAGCAATGAAACTGATTAATCAGTCGAGCAGCTTTTACATGCTTAGCAAGAACCCACTCATTATGCTGAGGCCCAAAATCCTTCCACTTGACCAAATACAGTAGTTGGCCCCAGGATACACACGAGTCAAGGATAGCATCCACCACTTGGTGGAGTTGACCATCTATTAGAAGAGGAGCTGGTCCCTTTTCAAGAGGCTGAAATGAAACACAGAGTGAAGTGAACAAAGATTCTTTGGGAGGTCTACCTCAAGAGCCACCTTATTAATCACTCACACCACCTTAAAGGGTCCCACATATTTCCATCCCAGTTTTCTCCTGGGTTGCAGACCTTTGAGATGTTTGGTTGATATACACCGAGTCACCTGGAGATAGTTCCCACTTGGGACTGTGTATGCCATCCACATAACATTTATAGCTTTGGCGAGGGTCTTTTGCAATATGTCCCAGTTTTTGGTTACATTTGACCACCACAACTGTGCATCCCCCTGAACAGGTTCATTTAGTGGGCAGCGGATAACCCTCATAGCCATGGACTGCGTTGAAAGAGGACATTCCTATAGAACTGTAAAGAGAGTTATTGTAACTGTATTTAGCAAAGGGCAATAAGGGTACCCAGTCATCCTGTTGGTAGTTAACATAACAACTCAAGAATTACTTGGTTGGTATGCTTCGTTTGACCATCAGTTTCGGGGGGGGTGACTACTGCTCAAGCCCCGTTCCACCCCCAACAACGTCATTAGTTCTTTCCAAAATTTAGCAACAGAGTTCTGCGGTCGGATATGACCTTTTAAGGAATCCCGTGTAATCTTATCAAGTGCTGCAAAAACATGGTAGCCAGTTGCTTAGCCATGGGGATGGTCTTACAAGGTAAAAAGTGTGCTAGCTTCGAAAACAGATCTACTACCACCCATATGGCCATTTTCCCAAGAGCTCTCAGGTAAATCGGTTATAAAGTCCATGGAAATCATAGTCCATGGTCGATCCGGGGTTTCCAGGGGTTGTAAGCGACCCAGCACTTTGCCCCATTGCCGCTTGCTCATTAAGCACGTTTGACAGGAAGCCAACGTACTTAGAAATATCCTTCCTCATCCCCAGCCACCAGAACTGGCGCTGAACTAAATGCAACATTTTCAAATAGCCAAAATGCCCCGACAGTTTATCATCATGACTCCAGGCTAAAATTCCCCCCTGTAAAGTCTCTGGTACATTGAGCAAACTTCAGAGGACGACAGAAGACAGGAAGGCCTGGTGTGATCTGGTCCATGGGGTCGCGAAGAGTTGGACTTGACTGTGTGACTGAACAACAACAAAGTCTCTGGTACATAAGTCTTATCACCTTTACTCCAACTACCATTTTCTCTTTGCTACAATCCCTCAGTGCTTATAGTCTCTAGATTGTGAGGGGTAAGAGCTGCCTTAAACTTTTCCAGCCACGCGTTCTGCTCCTCCTCCCTCCCCACTTTTGCTTGCTGACGGGTTACTACTGCCCCTCTCAACTGGGCAGGAGAGAATACAGTATCAGTGACTTCATCTCATTGGCTAGCGTGTTGTGGGAGGTGGGAGAGGGCATCAGCTAAAAAGAGCCTTTCCAGGGAGGTACTTTATGGTGAATCGAAACTTGGAAAAGAACTCCACCCATCACACCTGCTTAGCATTCAAGCTGCGCAGAGTCCTTAACGCTTCTAATTTTTTATGATCAGTCCATACTTCAAAAGGCACTCTTGCCCCCCCCACCAATGGCGCCAAGTTGTGAGGGCTAATTTCACAGTTGCCGCTTCCTTGTCCCACACAGCCCAATTCCGTTCAGCTCCCAAAAACGTTTTGGATACGTAAGCGAGCGGATGCAGTTTCCTTTCTGTGCCCCACTGTAAAATCACCCCCCCCATCACCACATCCGATGCATCCACTTGTACAATAAATTCCTTATTTTCATCGGGGTGATGGAGTATGGGTTCTGACGTGAATAACCTCTTTAAGTTCTTGAAAGCCTGTTGGCATTCAGGGGTCCATTGTAATTTACTTCCCCCTTTGCTCACCTCTGGGCCCTTTCCCATTGTTTTTAGTAGATCAGTGAAGGGTAGTGACACCTGAACAAAGTTGGGGATGAAGGCACAGTAAAAATTCATGAATCCTAAAAAGGATCGTAATTGCCTTTGAGTCCTGGGGGGTTCCCATCCCACTACATCTTGGACTTTCTTGGGGTCCATTCCCAACCCCTCTTGCATAATATGGTAGCCTAGAAAGTCTATTTCAGTCTGGTGAAACTCACACTTGGATAACTTGGCATACAAATTATTGTCATAAAGAACAGTCAACACCTCTCGCACCAGTTTCACATGTGAGTCCATGTCTTGTGTGTACACTAACACGTCATCTAGATAAACAACAACCCCCTTGAATAGGTGCTTGTGCAACACTTCATTTATTGGGTTCATGAACACTCCTGGGGCTCCTGCCAATCCAAATGGCATGACCAGATATTCAAACTGCCCCAGCGGAGTGTTAAACACAGTTTTGTGCTCATCCCCCTCTCTCATGCACACTCGGAAGTAAGCATCTCTCAAATCCAACTTAGTAAATATCTTTCCTTTGGCCGCCTCGGCCAGTAAGTCTTTGATCAAGGGCAATGGATATGCATTAGACATGGAGATAGTATTCAAGCCTCGATAGTCAGTGCACAATTTTAACCCCCCATCTTTCTTTTTCTGGAACAGAACCGGAGCTGCGAAAGGGGAGATAACCAGCCTGATAAATCCCCGCTCCAAGTTTTTGTCAATGAAGTGGCACAATTCTTCCCTCTCGGAGGCGTTCATGGCATATAACTTTCCCTTGGTCATTTTGTGCCCCAGCAAGATTTCTATCACACAGTCTTTCAATGAGGAGGCAACTCATCAGCCTCTCTTTCTTCAAACACCCGCCCCAAATCCTTATGTTCTGGAGGGATGGTATTTAGTT